AAAATTACTTTTAAATGTCGTAGAATGCCTTTGACTTCTTCGTACATTTACTTCTTTGTATATTGAATCTAAGATTCTGACTCCGTTACTATATGTAAAATTAATTTTTTTTTATGCAATTATTTGAACTATGGTCTACTAGCATCACGGGCTGAAATTCTTAAAGTTTCAAGAAACTCTACTAGTCCATGCATTTTGAAGGGCACTTATGGTACATAACTATTTAAATATAGCAGTATTTGAATAGGCACAAAGTTTTAAGATTTATTTTATTTGAAATTTATTGTTTAAAACAAATCATAAATACAACAACATACCAAGTGAAATCTTGTAAGTGTACGTAGACCTTAATTTTCAGGGGAAAATATAGATATTTATATAAATTCAAATTATCTCATTACAAATTTAACCATAATATCTACTATTTTATTTGAAGGTTACTACACATATGGGGGAGTAGCATATAAAGCTTCACCTTCACCAAATGGTTCAAGTTTGAGAAAATGCAAGGCAATTGTGTGGAAGACACTTAAGTTAAATGCACCATGTAAATACCATACTTGTTCTTTTAATGGTGTATGGAATGGTGGAGGTCTTGATGCTTTCAAGAATATATATATTTCATCATTTTTCTTTGATATGGCTTCTGAGGTAATACGTATATAATTATTCATCAATTCTTAATTCCCAATATTGAAGAGCGTAACATAAATATCAGCAGAGGCCAAGATAAAGAACACGTTATATATATTATTGAGTACATTGTAACATGAGTTATTATATTACAGGTTAATATTGTTGATCCAAAAGCATCATCAGGCAAAGCTAAACCAATACAATACCTAAATGCAGCCAAGATTGCTTGCAAGCTAAAAGCTGAAGAAGTAAAATATGTGTTTCCTAATGTGGATAGTAAAGATCTCCCATATCTTTGCATGGATATGATATACCAATTCTCTTTACTTGTGGATGGATTTGGTAAGTTTTGGTATAACGGCGTTGTTTGTATAAATATTTTTAGCTACTATTAAAAACATATAACATGACATAAAAATCAATTTTGAAATAAACTTGACCGTTATGATGAAATGTTATTATAGAGAATGCCAGTAACAATAAAGTCACTATCTGATTGTTATAATAATAAAATTAAATATTATTTCTAATCTAATTAATTAATTAATGCTTTGTAAGGCATTGTGTTTCTCTTGTTTAATTTACACCTTATTCGGATGACTGATGCATATTCTTTTATAATATATCGTATTATATTATATTACTTTGATATAATATTTATTTTATATATATTAAGATTATTATTTTTTTATGTTTGAGGTTTATAATTCAAAAAAACGATAATATTGAGATAAAGTTAGAGTTGAGGTGTTCAAACACATTAAAGTCGATATGCTTAAATCATCACTCCCTTATTTTGATCAAGAATATATATGTTGCACTAGCATATGTGGAGACTTTAATCTCTCTTAATGGTCTGTATTATATTACAACTTAGTGGAACATGGTGACATATATTTCTTGTATTTTATTTTTAAAAAAGAAGAGGAAAAGTTAGAAGTTAGTAAAATTTTAAAGTCCAAGTTGCAATACTATATTTGTTCTGCAATAAATTAATCACAAAGATATAGAAACGGTCCAATTCAAGATGCAACTTGTATTAAAAAGAAAAAGAATAGAATGTTTTCATTTAATTTCCGTCAACTTTCCTCCACAATAAGATTGCCTATCAAGAGTCCCACAAGTAATTTCCTAGAAGGATGAAATGTACTGTTATTAATTATTGGAATGCAAAAAGAAGAAGCATGTGGTTTTACTGTGTATGTCACACTGAGTGGAAATATATGTAAAGCACTTTTAGTCAAGTGCAATCACAGGCATTCCTCCAAACCAGCTAAAAAAATATGATATTACTTATATAGATTTAATTAAATACATAATTTACCTAACCAGTTATCAAACATGATAAGAGTATTATTTATATAAATTTAATATGCGGATAATTTACCTCCAAATCAATGGCTTAGTGACTCGTTAAAGTGAATATTGACCAATTATTCCAAACCAAATGAGAGAAGACTCTTGATCAATTATTTCAATCCACTTATCAATAATGTGAAAGAGATTTAAAGAAGAATGACTTTGAAATCCAAAAAAGAAGTTAAAGCAGATAGTTATACCGACAATTAATAGTCCATAGTGAATTATTGGAGGTATGAAACTTTTTTCTTAAAAATATATTTAAAGATAAAAATTAAAAAAAAATTAATATTTTTAAACTGTACAAATAAAAATATCATTGTTTTTACTAGTGTGAACAAGTAAAAATCTACGAAGAGAGTGAAAGTAAATAGTATATCTATTAATAACATAACAAATAGAAGTGAACGAGACATTTCTACGAAATATCTTGTAAATGACTTGACCCATTATTAATTTTCCAGGAACAAGTAATTACCTGTGGGTATATGTAGAAGCTGCTTCACTCATCTTTCTTTCATTATATTAAAACAAAAAACTATCTAAAAATCCCTTAAATTTATTGTCATCAAATATGCATACACAGTTTGTTGTAGGAGAATCATCTTCTTCTTCCAACTTGTCTTATGATGTATTTCTCAGTTTCAGAGGCAAAGATACTCGCAAAACCTTCACCGGTCATCTTTACACCCAATTGTGTCAAGTCGGAGTTAATACCTTCATAGATGATGAGGAATTAAGAAAGGGAGACGTCATTTCAACCGAACTTGAGAAAGCAATTGAACAATCAAGGGTTGCCATTGTTGTTTTCTCCAAAAAATATGCTTCGTCTAGTTGGTGTCTTGATGAACTTGTCAAAATTCTCGATTGCAGAGTGAGGTTAAAGCAGGTAGTTTTGCCTATTTTCTATGATGTTGATCCTTCTCAAGTGCGAAGGCAAACTGGATCCTTTGCTGAAGCTTTGACAAAACACAAGGAACGATTGGTTGGAGCTGAAAGAATGGAAAAGTGGAAAGTTGCACTAACTGAGGCTGCGAATTTATCTGGATGGGATTTGCGAAACATGGCTGATGGGTAAGACTTCTTAATTCAACTACAGAATTTTGAATTTAAGCGTTTGCCTAAGCATATAAGCTGGTTAATTTTGGAACATTGCAAAGTCTTCTATATTTCTTAAATTCCATATCAAATCAAACTACATCCGCAGAGCAGTATTAATGGACAATTTCCATTCTCTATCCTCGAATTCTGTGTTATATGTTAGCTATTGATTTCCATTCTATCCAGGGAGAACTAGTTTTAACTTCTGATATTGCTAAAAAAACTGTAGGCATGAATCAAAATTTATCGGAAGTATTATAAAACAAGTTCTGCAAGAGGTCAACCAGACACCTCTAGATGTTGCTCATTACCCAATTGGATTAGATTCTTCTATCCAACATATAGAGTTGTTACTGCAAAGTGGATGTGAGCATGAAGTTCGTATGGTTGGTATATGTGGCGTTGGTGGAATTGGAAAAACAACTCTGGCGAAAGCTATATACAATCGAATATTTCGACAGTTTGGTGGTTGTTGTTGTTGCTTCCTTTCGGACATTAGATCAAAAGCTGAAGAATTGGGTCTTGTCAAGCTACAAGAAAAAGTACTTTGTCAAATTCTCAAAACTAAGGAGTTCGAAGTTGATAGTGTTGCTGAAGGTGTCAATCTAATCAAAGCAAGACTTGGGTCAAAGAAGGTTCTAATTGTTCTTGATGATGTGGATCATAGAAGCCAATTAGAATCCTTAACAAGAGAAAGAAGTTGGTTTGGCTCTGGTAGTGTAATAATTATTACAACCCGAGACGAGCAATTGCTACATGGGCTTACAACAAATGAGATATACCGGGCCAAACTTTTAAATGAAAATGAAGCTCAACAACTTTTTTATTGCCATGCTTTTAACAGTCTTTCTCCACCACAAGAATATGTTAAGCTGGCACAAGACATAATAAAATATTCATATGGGCTACCATTAGCTCTTGTGACATTGGGGTCACATCTGCAAGGGAGATCCGTTAAAGAATGGAGAGATGAGTTCAAGAAACTAAAAGCAATTCCTCATTCTGATGTTCAAAAGATTCTCCAGATAAGCTTTGATGGACTTGATGATAATACTCAGAGTGTTTTCCTTGATATCGCATGCGCCTTCCATGGATGTGATGAGGATGAAGTTACTAAAACATTAAACGCCTGTGGTTTTTATTGTGAAAGTGCAATTGCAACTCTAGTCAAAAGACACCTGCTCCAAAGGGATTGGCATTGTTTGGTGATGCATGATCTTGTGCGGAATATGGGAAGAGAAATTGTTCGCAGGGAATCACCTCAAGACCCTGGGAAACGGAGTAGATTGTTTAACCCTCAAGATGTCCATGACATTCTACAAGGAAATAAAGTAAGTAAATTTCATTATCTTTATCTTGGTTATACTTTCTTCTCTTTTTTTTTTTCATTTAATTTGATATACATTTGCTTATAATTTAGGTTGTCACCACAAGAACTCAATCCATTTGTGCTTAATTCTTCTTTGGATAGTAAATTATCTCTAGTTGTTTGCCAACCACTCTCTCCTAATTTCTCGTACTTTTCTTTTTACTAAATTACAGGGTTCCGAAAATGTAGAAGTATTGGTGTTAGAACGACATGCATTAAAGGGTGTAAAGCTGAGCACAAAAGCATTTCAGAAAATGATAAAACTTAGGGTGCTTAAAATCGACAACTTACATATTAGTGGAGATTTTGAGCTATTGTCCAAGAAGCTCAGATGGTTGTCTTGGGAAGGATGTCCTTTAAAATGTATACCGTCAAATTTTCCATTTGGGAAACTTGTATTTCTGAATATGAAAGGGAGCGATATCCAAGAATTTGGTTTGAATTTGCAGGTTCGTACTGCTATTTCATGTGTACTGCTATATTGCAATTACATGAAGGAAAATCTTAATTAAAATTATATTTTGTTTACTTTTAGAATTGTAGAAGTTTGAAGAAGCTGGATCTCTCTGATTGCAAGCACCTCAAAAGTACTCCAAACTTCAAGGGTTCACGAAGTCTCGAGTATGTGATGTTTAAAGGTTGCTCAAGTCTTAAGAATATCCATCCATCAATAGGGAATTTGGAAAGACTAATTAATCTTCAATTTGGTTATTGCAAAGAGATTACGGATCTTCCGAGCAGCATATGCAAGCTAAAATCCCTTGAATACTTGGACATTAATGACTGCTCATCTTTACAAACACTGCCAGTTGACATTGGAGATATGCAAAGCCTAACTCATCTTTGTGCATGGCGTACGGGTATAAGACAGTTGCCTGGATCTGTTGAAATGCTAAGAAATCTTAAAACATTGCAAGTGGGAGGTGGAATTTTAGAGGCCAAAAGGAGTTTTTCTCGAAGAAGAGTCTGCCGCATAGAATCCTTATCTAATTTTATTTGTGCTTTATGTCTTGAAAACTGTGGTTTCACTGAGGCTGATGTTCCTAGGGATATTGGGAGTTTATCCAACTTATATCATTTAGATTTGAGCGGCAACAATTTCCTCTATCTACCCTTTGATTTTTCCAAGTTACCATTGTTGGTGTCCTTGTATTTGAGTGATTGTAAGGATCTTCAAACACTCCCGTCAATATCAAATTTACAGAACCTTAAAATTCTTGAACTTGGGAATTGCCAAAAACTGGTCGAGATTACAGGGTTGGACAACCTCCCTTTAATAGAGTGGATCAACATGATTAATTGTACTCATCTGCAGAATCCATTCAATGAAGGCTTCTTTAGTGCCCCTGCTCTATCAATTTCGTCTAGAAAACATCAACTGTATGAGGTTAGTCCCTCTCCCTCTCTGATCTCTATCGTATCACATTAATAATTAGTGATCTAATTGTGTCTTAATTTGTCTGATGAAGCCGTCAGTAAAAATTGTTCTCGAAAGCAATGAGATTCCAGATTGGTGCAGCAATAAAGTAACAGCTCCTGAATCTATTTGTTTGACTATGCCCACACTACATAATGAGGAGTATAAGTTCTTAGGAATGGTTCTCTGGTATGTTTGGCTCTGTTGCAATGTACCCACCCATCCTCCACACTTTGTTGTTACTGTTGCCAATAAAAAGCTTTCAGATATTCTGTTTAGTTGGGATATTGTTATAGCTGACAGTCAGAGAGAAGTATCAGGTGTATATTACTTGCCTTGCTCAAATGTTACACTGTTTGAAGGCCTGGAGATCAAAGGCGGGGAACAGATAAGAGTAGACGATCGCACTGGCGGAGCCGTAGTAAAGAAGATAGGAGTACATCTGTTATATTTAGACCAACATGGCAATGTTACTTCTTTCCCGGCAAAAAATGTAGTAGAAGAAAAGAAGACAAAAAGAAAAAGAAAAAGAAAAATGATGTTTGGTGTCAGTCGTGGACGACTATTGGTGTGCCCCATTTCCAGAAAAACTTCAGCAAGGCATAACAGAGCAAAGTTCTGATAGTTTTCCTTTGGATAAAGCTTGGGAATGAGTGATGACTGAATCAACTTTTTTTCCATTTGTATACTGCTAGTTTCTTCAACTGCACTAAACCTTAGTTAAAAGAATTGAATATGTATAGTGAATAAAGTTATCAAATTTTGTTTGATTTTTGTAATCAACTTTTTCCATTTGTATACTGCTAGTTTCTTACTCATGGTTTTTCGAGATTCGCTTTGCTAGCTTCCGCATTAATTACACCTAATTATTTTTGGTCCTAACATTATGATAATAATATCTAATTTCTACTCCCTTTTTTCCTGGAAAAATACTAGTATAAGAAAATGAAGTTGGAGCTAGCAGAAGAAATTGTATAATAAATAATTTGGGACTTACTCTCTTATATGTGGTGCTAGGGAAGGGGAGTGCCTGTTCTCATTCTGTGAAATGTGCACAATTTTTTGCAGTGATGGAACCATGCAATATCTCGGGAATTTCAAGTAGTTTAAGCAGACGTTTAATTATATGCGATATTTGAAAAAATATATATTTGGAAGTTGAAGTTGTGTTTAGACTTTGGTGAACATGTAGAAGTTGCGATCGGAAACAACTCACTTAAAAAGCTAGTCAAAATTACGTTATCAAAATTATGTTAGGTTGAATATAACATAAAATTATAACGATTTGTGTATCGAATCTGAAATTATACTCACAAATATTTCATATAATTTAATAATAGAATTACATCCGTACAAGTAAGGAACTAGTCAACATATGGATAGAGTTTCTCAGTCTTGCTGTTCTAGATTGTCACGTTTCTTGCTCCTTAAAAGTAAAGGAAGATTATCGATAAGAGTTATAGTAGAGTGGTAGATACTTATTTATTTTTAATCAGAGATTTTGGGTTTGTGTTTTTTGGGTAAGACTGGAGTCGTCTTTGGGGAGCGTTTTATTCCTAAATGTGAGACTTTTCGACACAAATTTGAATTTAATCGAGCTCTAATGTAGATATCAAACACCAGGGGCGGCTCAAACCCGTTGGTGGCCTAAGGCCAAAATCAAACTAGAGGCATTAAAAAAAAATTAAAAAATTAAAAATATTTTTATTTTAAATCTATTTTTCTAGTTTTTTGAGATGTAAAGTGGTTAATAATTTTTGTGTAGTCAATCTCTTCTAATAATTCTTTTTCATTCGATAATATAGCCAAACCACTTCTAAAATTTATCAAGAGCACCTTTCTTAGATTTTATCAAGTCATCAATTTTTCTTTTTCTTTTAAGTTTTGAATGACCGGATTCATATTTTCTAGTTGACATATTAAAATCTAACAAATATTTTAAACACAATTACAATATCAAATAAAAAATATAATAAACATAAGACACAAAACAAAAATAATATTAGAAATTAAAATGATATTATCGGATTCAAGAACTATGAAGACTTGATTTCCGAAAATGAATTGGGCTACTGCAATATATATTTTTCTCCAAATTTAAAATATAAACTATCAATAGAATAAGTAAATTCTTAAGCTTTGAATAAGAGAGCTATAAGATTAGAAAAGAGAAAGAGAAAAGAAATAGAGAAAAGAAATAGAAGAGAAGAACATAGGAGGATAGAATATATAAAAATAAAATTAGAAAAAGAATAAGGTAAAAAAATAAATATAACTTGTACATTAAAAAAAAGTAGACAACTTTTTATTGGAAAGGGAAAAAGTAATTGTCATATCTATCACTTCATTAATGCCGTTTGCATTTGTTGTCTTAGTTCTAAATTTTTTTTAGTTTAATCTTACCTAATTAACTAAAAAATAGGGCCCCCAATACTAAGGTCAAGGACTTTTTTTTATACCTTAACAGCCGCCCCTGCCAAACACAGGATGGAAGATCAAAAAAAAAAAAAAAGTAAAGGAATATTGTTATTACTCCTCAAAGTTCAAAATTGTAATATCTTAATCCCTTTTAAATTTTACAAGCGGACTTTGAGAAAGTTGGTGTCTAACTGTGTATGCAATTTTACTTCTATTTTATATAAATAAAGAAGCTATTTCAATATATATTTGCTTCCATTAAAGCATATTAAAATCGAATATAATAATGACGCAATTATGCTGAATATAATGGAGAATAGTATTCTAACGATTAAATGCAAATGTATTTTTCCCAATTTAGGTTTTGTGCGTAGAAAATTAAGGTCCTTCTCTTTGGTCAGGTATTTCAGTCCATTAGTGGAAATTTCACTAAAAGTTAACAAATATTAGTCAACAATTAAGGAGTCGTATCTATCTTTAATTTCTAGGACATGACGTTATTTAATTAAAATTCATTTTCACTTAATTTTTTTAAGTTAAACAATTCTTCATTTTTTTGGCAAAGTTTGTCAATAAATTAATTCTAGGATATCTTCGAATTCTTTGACTAATACTCTAGTCAACAAACTTAAAAACAAATATCCAATTTTCATTCAAGATACTTTTGTTAAAAATCTCAAGACTATATATTCAAAGCAATTTTGATGTATGGCACAAAGTGAATCCACATAGAGGTTAAATAAATACATAATTCATAAACGTGCTTTTTAATTTGACATTAGTTGATATTTAAGGCCTACTAACTTTGGACGTACATAAATAGGCACTTAATTTTATATAAAATTGAATAAATAGATACATATGTCATATACGACATCCTATATATTTAGCAATTATATAATAAAGAAGATTAAATTAAATCATTATTTGATGGCTTGATGCTTTGGGTGCCTTTTGAGTACTCTATGACAAATACTACTCAACAAATTTCAAATAAATATATTAATCAACATTTTTCTAGGAAAACTAATTCTTTAAAGTTAAAACTGTCGTTTTCATTTAAATATAAAATATTTAAAATATTGCAGTTAAATTTCATAACACAGTATTCTTGCTACTCTCTAGGTCCAATAATGCAAACAGCTTCATCGATAAAGTTTGTTATATATCAACATCATATTGTACGTTAACTACGTTAATAATTTGCCATTATACATCGATAACCTCGTAAATTTATCAGTATATTTTACTTAGATACATGAAAACATATTTTTTATTAGAGATTTCTGACTTAAATTTTGAATACCTATTATATGGGTTCTCAAACGCTTATTACTTAGATAAAATAATTTTTTAACATATATCAACTTTATTACCATATATATTAGCGATAATTATCACGTTTTCTACGATAACGATGTTTTGTCACAATTCTTATGTGTCAAAATATTAGTCATAGTGTCGTTGTCACAACATAAAAACTTCTTCTTCCTTTTCTTCCTAAATCGTTTAATTTTGTTGAGCTAAAATTTGGCATTAAAAGAGTGTTTGGATTGACTTAAAAGTTGGTCAAACCTATTTTTAAGTCGTTATTTACTTCTGAAAGTGTTTGACAAATATAAAAAATAACTTAAAATAAGTTGAGAAGTGTTTGACAAGGTCAATAATGACTTAAAATAAGTTAAAAACCAAAAGTAGGTCTCCCCCTACTTTTTATTTTTTGACTTAAAAGTCATTTTAGTTTGACTTTTTATTTTTGACTTAAAAACTACTTTTTTTAAGTTAATCCAAACGGGCCCTAAGCTACGACTAATAGATAATAATCACATTAATCACTAAGCTTATCATAAAATCTTATTACTGAATCATATTAAATTAATACATATTTTAATTTTAATTTACAACTTAATCACAGTCAATTAATATGATTTTGATGTGATATAAATATCGAATGTTGGTAAATTCATAACTACTTTATTTTCTTTTCTTTTATGATAAATAAATTATATGTCAGAATCTTCTTTCTCTTTGATCCTTCGTGCGTTCCTTATCCTATTCTGCAAGATGAGCCTACAGGGTGTCAATCAACCGAACCGAAAAGGCCAAAACATTTTTAATCATGTATAAATGGGATGTTGCTAATTCAGTTTATTGGGGCAATTTTAGCTAATAAATAGATGAAACGAGGGTATATTTGACCCTAAACCTATATTCAGGGACATTTATGGACTTTTTTCGTAAATAATATTAAATTGTTATTAATATAAAACGAGTTTTTTTAAAGCAAATTTTCCGTAAAATATATTACTTTTTTCCTCTATTTTTTATTTGTCTGCTATATTAAAAGTAGATGTCCACTTTTACTTTGTCCAGCATAAAAAATCAAGAAATAATTTATTTTTATATTTATATCAATTATCCTTATTAGTAAGTATTAATCATTTTTATTTTTCAACATTTAAATAACTTATGATGATTAAGAGTGAAATAGTAAAATAATTATTTTATTTGTTACTTTCTTCTTCTTCTTTTTTTTAAAAAAAGAGCTAAGTTAAACATGGACAAAGTAAATAAACATGGACGAGACTTTAAAGATTTCTAAGATATCATAATAAATAGTCAACTCAATTGTTTAATACTCTTCAAATTCTACTATATTATAAAAGGGAGTTTAGGCCCAATTCTACTATATTATATTCAAGATTGGGACTTTTCCCAATCTTGAATATTATATATTATACTTGTGGGACTTTTAAAAGAAAGTTTATTTCCAAGTATAATATATAATATTTAAGATTGAGACTTTCTTGAATATTATATATTATATTTATTATATAGTAGAACTTGGGCATAAACTCCCTTATATATATCTCACAAATGGAAAAGCCCCAATCAAGGAAGCAACATATATCATTTAAAAATGACTTAAAAAGCTTTAAAATATTCAAAAGCTATATAATAAAATAGGTTGACTCTCAGAATTCTATCAAACTCACATATATTGGGACATAAAAAATAACACATATCATTTTAATATTACCAAAAAAGTATTATAAATAATAATAATTAACAACTTAAAATATCTTAAAGACATTTTAAAAGGGTTAATTTTGTAATTCTATTCATATCACATAAATTAGGACAAAGTGACATGTAATGTACATTATTTCAAAGTTACATAAAAATATTATAAATCACAATAATTAATAACTTCAAACATTTAAAAAAAAATATGAAAATTTGGATGACTCTCCAAATTTCATTTGTATCACATAAATTGAGACAACAAAAATAACATATATTGGGTCCATTTTAATTTATTTGTCTTATTTTTTTTTATATTTAAAAATTGTGTAAAAATACTATAAATCATGATAATTGA